AACCGCCACACTGAACACAATTTTATTTATAGAGCGCGACTTTCGAAAACACAATATAATATTAAAATATATTATGTACATAAATATCCAATTTTTTGTTTTGTTAGTTGAATATTAATGTTATAATTATGTATGTATCAGCGTACGCTAATAATTAATAAGATTTTTTAATCTCGATATAAAAACCATGGTTCCATCCAATACCGTCCTAACCGCCAATATCACTCTAGGGCAATAATATTTGACGCCTCCCCCCCCTCCCCCCAAGAAAATAAATAAAAAATATGTACCTAAAAATAACTTCACATTTTTATAGTGTATAACCTCATTATTTAAATATATTTAATACTTATTAATTAAAGGTACCTGCTTTTGAAAATTGACAATGTGAGAATTATGAACCAAGTTTAGGTAATTTCTAATAACTGATGACTTTGACGATACTGGATGAAACTTTGAGATGTGATGTTTAATAAATACATGTTAAGTAACTATTAAATGTTTATTAAACACAACTTGTAATGGTTATCGAGTCTTAGGTATTAGCTTTAAATAATATAATATCAGATCAATTTCAGATACATAATTCGGAAGTAATTTACAAACAAAAGATTTTACATATTACATTAAATTATGCATGATGTTGATACACTTATACAGTATCAGTTATAGAAGAGACATAAGTAAATTAGGTATTTTAGATTCTGGGAGGAGATCAGAATGTATTGATGTATTTTTTAATTTATTAATTTTATAATTTACAATGTGTTTTATGTTTTTCAATTATTTATTTATTTTTAGCATCTGCTTGGGTAAGAAAGTGAATCTAGTTGGTACTTTGGTGGGTCAAAAGTGAAAATTCCCAAAAATTTTCAAAAGCGTCATGAAAAAACAAACAAAAAAATTAACGAAAAACTACAATTATGTAACGCAGTTTTCGAAAATTGATTTTGTTTTTTTGGTTTAACTCTAAGAAAATAACCGCAGTGACGTAGATACATAAACATTTTAAAATTATAGAATTTTTCAACTATATATAGGCATAAGAAAATTTCGATTTATATTAGTTTTTTTTAAAATTATTATTGTTAAAAAATTGTTCACTGTCAAATAACTTGAGAATGTAATACTACAATAGGTTCTTCATAAGCTGTTATTAGTGGAAATTCTAATTGAAGTATATTAAATCATCATTGGGAGCAGACCACTCCCGCATGTGTTGCGTCCATCTTACAAATGTAAAATAGCAAAAACTGTCTTGCGCGGGAAAAAATCGAGGAGGCTACAGCAATAACTAAGAAACCACATTTTCATCATGAATGGAGTAGAATTTTAACTGTGTCGTAGAGTTTTTATTTTTATGAAAAGATCAATATATCAACAGTCACTAAGTTCGGAGAACGTAAAAATATCAGATTTTTAAAAGTAATATAACTTTTTTCTCATTAATTATATCAAACAAATAAAAACGTTACGACACAGAAAATATTATCTTCAATGTTGTGTACACTTTTGGTGTATCTACTAAGACTACAGACTGAGTGGTTCTATCCGGCGCGAAACCGTTTTTTCTATGTTGTACATTTGTAAGACAGAGACAACACACACTGGTGTAGCGTCGTCTACTCGTCTTAATAATGTATCAATAATATTCTAAACTTTGGTAATACTGATATTTATACAATATTGTAGGCATATCATACATAATTTACATAATTTTATATTTAATAGTATAATAGTGTACACAATTTGGTAGGTTTACTACAGTATAAAAGGAAAATTAATATCTAAAATAACACAACATTTTTCTTTTTATAGTTCGTTTATATGTCACCCCTTTAAATGTATGGACGCCTAGGGCATCCCTCCCACTGGGACGGCATTTTTTTGTACTAAGTAGAAAATATTTATCAAGATAGTTAAGACACTATCAGTAGCCGTTGTACCTAGTTTAGATATTAGAGTGAATTGACCTATTATAAAATTTAAAGGTAAGATTATTAACTAGGGTTCCATGTAACCTTATATTGATAATATTATTTTTAAGCAAGTTAGGATCATTTTAAAATGTATGGTTTCAAAAAGGTCATTACTCATTACTTACTTAAAAATAATATCAATAAAAGCCTACCTAGGACCCTAGATAATAATCTTACATTTAAATGTCATGCCAATACACTCAAGTATCAAAAATAACAGCACACTATAGTCTGGTGAACAAAAATTTGCCGTCGTAGGTGTGTAAGACAGAGACAACACATGCGGGTAAGACGTCCTTTTAATGACAGAAATTTGTTATTTTTTTAATGCATTTTTGTTAAATTTAGAGATGAAGGGCCATTATATCGTATTATACATACCCTACCGGCTACCATTGAATTATTATATGAAAGCCTGTATCATGTAGTCAAATCAACAAGTAAAATTGTATAAGTAATAAATAACGCAATAGTATTAGATATTACCAACAACATGCTTACATTTAGGGGAAAAATATTTATAAGAATGATTAACCAGTAATAATTTAATCAGAAAATTGAATTTAAAATGAACAAAGAATACTTATTTTTTACTAAATATAACTACCCAATATAAAAATAAAAGGTTTTTACAGATATAATTAACTATGTAATAATTTGTATTCTTATTCATGTTTCTAAATTTTAATGCTAGAGTATGTATACTATGGTTATTATTTATTAAAAGTATACAAAATATGTTCATAAGAACGAAAGTTATTATGTAGTCAAGTAAAACTGTAATAAATATATATAATATATATATATAAGAAATTTAAAAATACCTTCATAAAAACAAGGATTAGCACTTAAAAAGTTAAAAACAAAATACAAATAAATCACACATGTTAAGTAATAGTAGAGTAAGATAGTTTAAGAATACAGTTTAACATTACATAGAAGTTGATGGACTTCATGAGTATATAACTAAAAATATGTAACATAAATTATAAAATATATAATAGTAGAATAATATATTATAATATATTTTTTAATAACTAATTTGTAAGAATATTTAAACGTGTACTTAATAGAAACATGGTTTATTTTCATATTTTCTGTATTTTTTTTTTTTTTTTAATGCTGCCTTATAATTTATAAAAGAACTTAATATACTTTACTATATCATAATTCATATATATAGCAATATTATTATCTATACTTCATATTTTTGCGGTAAAATTGTTTTTAGGGGTTATCACTGACACTACTTAACCGATTCTAAAATTTGTTTTAGTATCAAAAAGCCACACTACCCCTGAGTAGTCCTCTTAATTGATCATTTTTTCCAGGGAAGTCAGGTTATATAGCTATATCAGAAACCACCGGATGGCACTTTGACAAGCTTGCCATACCACAAACTTGGTATAACTTTGAGAAAATGTACAGAGTTAGAATTTAAAAATTATACATTTACATTCACATTTTTCAGGGTTGATTGCTGGTGGATCACCTACCTGATAATATATATCTATACTCCTGCCCAAGAGAGATCAGTACCGCTATTTGACCAAAACGTGTCCGATTTCGCGCATCTCCCACGTAGCACGCGATGATTGCGACACATAGTGGGGGAAATCGGGTTCCGCGCCGTCGCTGCTGGTCATTCTGCATGCACGTGACGGTACTGATCTCTCATGGGCCGGAGTATAGCAAAATCACAAGTGAGTTTACGCAGAACGAGATGGCTATAATATAATATAATCAAACGTTTCCTGACTGATTCACCAACTGATCAACATAAAGCCTAAAGAATAATAACTTGAGGCTTCCATTTTTCAACCTAACCTTCATACCACCATGCAAGTGCATCAAGAAAGCATTTTCCAAAATTTAAATTTTAAAGTGGTGCTTGCACAAGTATTTAGAGATTCAAGATGATCAATGAAAATCGTTAAGTCTTGAACACCATTTCACTAAATATTATAAAGAATTCAACAAAGTTTGAATCATATAAAGTTGGCATTTTTAACAGGCAACAAAATGCACAGTCAGCTGGTATATTTTATGCCTCAAAGCTGAGTATTATGTGTAGATTTGTATTTCAGCAAAGGGCTGGTCTTGGTGCAGGTCACTTAACTAATATTTTATTACAAAAAATGTTATTTGTATAATATGTAAAATTATACTTTATTAATAAAACTACAATAATTATGAACCTACTTCAAAATCAACCAAATTAACTAAAAATGGTACATTTATATAATCTATCCATTCAAATAATGGAAAATATCATCAATACGCAACTACTAGTTCTTATATAATCAATATATTATACATATTTGTTCTATATATGTATTAAGTATTAACATATTGGAATTTTAATTCAATGACAATTCAATCAATAACATGATATTTTTTCTAGTCTTTACGTTAGTAAGTTCCAAACATAAAAATTGTAGTAATACGATACATTGTAAACGGTTACTTGGTATTTGTTTTTTTTTTACATTTTTTACAGCGTAGACATTAATTTGACATGTCACAACAGACAAGGAATTTTTTTCAAAAAGACAATGACAGTTACATATCATTATTATTAAAAACAATTTCATTTAGTACTATTTTGTGACAATATTATGTTATTTAGAGTTTAGTGATGTTAAAAATAAAGTACTTCAATTGAAGATCTCCAATTGTAGAACAAAAAAGAAAATTATTGTATTATGTTGTATAAAATTATAAAATACCTTATACTAATAATATGTCAGTTAAGTATCTCCATAATATTTATATAAAATATATCAAGTGCCACTATCAACCTATTTAAAAATATAAGGTTCATAACAAATAAATTGTCCCAAAGTCATTAATAATGCTCAAATTATTTTGCGATACGACTAAATAGTTTTAATGTATGTCAATAGGTCAATAAAAATATTGCAATTCTTCAATCTTTATTGACTGAGAAAAATGTTAAGAGACCACAATAGTCGTCATCATGGTCAATCAATAAAGTTTAATAATAAATTAATAACTTACTCTCATTGATGGTGGACTATAAACTGATTGTGTAGGAGCTGTTTCATTTAAACTGGATTTATTTACAATCAATTTCCTGCAAATAATAAATATTGTTGATATTTATTATTTATAACATGAGTAAGAAAAAGAATGTTTTCAACTCAAGATAGTATAGAAAAATACTTAACTTTTACATACAAAATAAGTTTTTTTTTAAACAATGTATTTGATATATTAAGACAATAGGTAATTTGATATACTCATGCCAGGTTGCATGAACAATCACTAAACATTTAACGAATAAATTGTGAGTTAATCGTCCTTTAAACATGATTCAATAGCCCATGATTTATTCATTAAATTTTATTGGACCGTTAAATTAATACATTTTTCATGCAACCTGACATTAAAGCTACTATTATAATACGTAAGTAGAGAAATTACTTGTCACTGGCTTTTAATTTGTCATCAACCTTGAAAGATTTAACTAATGTAGCAAGCCTATCTTTACTTAAATCATTTGAATCGATTTGAGACGATGCACAATATGCTATCCAAGATCCAACTAAGTCTGATGCAGATATTTTATGTGCATGACATATAATGACACCTAAGAAATAACAAAAAGTATTAAGTATTAGTATTTGTTAATATATAACTTACAGTAAACACTACATTTTTTTAAATATAGTACCTATAATCAAAATGTATTCATTCATTCTTTACCAACAATATTTCAAAGTTATTCAATTTTATATATTTATTGCTTTTGTATTTCAGTTAATTATACTCGGAAGAAATATTTTTTAAATATTTATAACCGCAATTCATGCTGTGTTTTTTAGCAAAGCCTTCAAGTAAAAATTATTAGTTGGATTCCAGGATAGGAAGATGTAAGGAATTTTTGAGTCTGTTTTTTTTTCTGAAACAGTGTATCAGTGACAGATAACTGTAAAATATCAAATAGAGGAATACGGGAGGATTTATATGTTAAACTGCACAAGACATTTAGTTATACTGAATTACTGAATACAATTTAATGTATAATAAAATAAAAATGTAATACATAATTTAATATATTTTACTTTAGTGACGACAAGACACGAGACACAAGGTCTATATTTGCAAATACACAGAGCTAGCGATGAATTAAGATTAATTTAGTAACATGCATATGGAGTGAGCTAAAAATGTTTGTAAATCTTGGAATAAACAATATAGAACAAATGTAAGACACCAAGTGTTTTAAATGTATAGGTATGATATAATAAAATATAAATATTGTAAGGGTGGTTTACCAAAAAACCTCATTAATTATATTTTTTATTACTCATTTATTTTAATTACAATAAGATATTTAGCCCACAAATATGATGTTTGGTTTAATTTTTCTATTTTAATTTAATTAATTCAATGAATACAACATCATTAGTATATCACTCTCACATTACTTGGGTTTGTTTTTGGGTTGAATACAAGTTTTTTTTTCTGACCGAGAGGAAAATTTTAGTAAGGTTTTAAAAGCGACATTTGGTTTGAAGCAATCTACTGGGTTCAACATTAATACAGGTTCAAGTTTTTTTAGTTGTACAGTTTGGGTACATTATATAATCATTTAATATATGTATCTTAAAAATAATGAATAATGTAGGAAATGCTAATCCATTTATGTTAACAATCTACTACAAGACAATAAAAAAAATATATCATAATAAGTAGCATATAAAATACTGTAAAATATTGTCAACAGGAATTCTAAACATTTATTAGTCAGTATTATGTGGTTTTTTGTGTTGGCTCTTATAAATAAAATGAAATGTTATTCTGTTACAGACTTCTAGAATCAATCAACAAACAAAGTAGATAAATAACGATTTAACTGTACAGTGATCAGTAGGTATTGAGTCTGACCATCTGGGGAACATTTACATAGCTATTAAATTGGTAAGTATAGAAAATAAATATGAATAAGTTATATTAACTCACATAATTAATATCTTGCAAATACTGATAAATTGAATAGAATGTCTATTGTCTTATCTTATATCAGGATTTAAGTAAAATATTATCATGTATGTGACATAATTAAAATATATTTTAAAATTTAAACTTACGTCTAAAAATCTATAATTTAATATCACATGATTATATAAAAATAATATTATATTATATTAAATCTATTACTATAAAATTAACAGTTTACAACTATTTATTTGTATAGTTTCTTACTACTGCACTATATTTTCATTTACTAATAATAAATAGGTACCAAATAAATACCCAATTGTATGGTGTCGCACCTAACAAATTTGAACAACTAAAATACCTAAATGTGTACAGATTTAATCTCATTTAAAAATCACAAAACAAGCAATGGACATAAAAATCAAAGGTTTTCTAAGAATTACATTTATTCCTACCACGAATAATGAATAAAATCATTGTTTAGTAGTAAACAGTAAATATTATTGTAGGTACCAATTCTGTTTAGAAATACAACTGCAAGTACCATAAAAACCAGTGAACAATTCCACCTAGACCGTTATAATTCTTGTAGAGCACAATCATATTTCAATATTTTTACTATATATCACAACTGTGATATAGAAAATTGACTAACAAACGTTGAAAAAAATATCTTTCATGTCAAAAGCTCTAGGCAATGATATCCATTTTTAGTTTTTTTTTTATAAATACTTACATTCGTCAATGATGTCATCCGGGATGGTCATTCCCATGTCTTCAAATTCATTCACCAAAATCGGACGGTCCATGACTCTTGACTGTGGAACCTAGGAAAGTCGTTTGACGTAGATGCGATTAACTTCGTACCAAGCTCAACATAATACTATTAATATAATGTGAACAGGACGAACATGAAATAGGACGAATAATTTGTTATCGACAATCGTTTTTAATTACGATTGTTAACGATTTAATTCAAAGAAAAATCTTCCAGACAGTTGAAATCAATAATTCATTAATTATGTTTCGAACGAATTACTTAATGTTACTTAATGAAAACCGAATTACCGCTACAGCAGTACAAAATCTCAGGAACAAAATCACAAAGTTCAGCGTACAGCGACAAGTGACGATCTTCGTTCGTTTTTCGTTAATAAAATAAATTAACGAATAACCAATAATATTTCCAATTGGACATTCACTATTTAGGCGGGCGTAATCACAACGAAAACAAAAATCGGCGGTATAACCTACAAAATTAACATTTACAAAGGTTAGGATGGAAATTGTGAACGTGGAATTGACGTTTTGTCGTGAATCGTGATACCGACATTTGATAAACTCGACAATAGTCCGAAAATATTCCCTCATTATCTGTAATCACGATGTAGAGATAAATGATAATACAAATACATCATGTCTGATAATAAATTTATAATATTTTATTTATTTAATAAATACACCTTGGTGTCAACAATGCACGAATCATACCTTTAAATTTGTATTATGTATTTGCCTTTGGATAAAATGTAAATTACTCAATACTCAATAGCTTATAGACTATAAAAATATAAGAAGAAATAGCCAATAGTGAATACATATAATATAATAACAGGCAACTAATAATGACCCCATTGAACATATTTTTTTAATCTCTTTACAATCATTACATTTTACTAATTTAATTTATTAATGATTTTTTTATGGTATTAAGTAGGTATAATTTTAACTTATCCATTATTTTATTTAAAAAAAATATTTTTTGACTAACTTATACAAGCATGATGAGCTTAATAAATTTCCTACCTGGCTAAGCTAACCAAAATAATTCTCTTCATTAGTTCTAGTTCAGTCTTTACTCTTTAGTACTACTTTAGTACTTTCTGAAGTCTGCCATCTACAAAATTGTTTATTGAACGCATTCATATAGATTTTGAGCTGCTTTAATGTGAAATATATACTAGAACTTTATGTATCTTCAGCCAGGTACATAATTAAGTATTTCATCGCATTTATTGTAATAACTGCTGAGGTAAAGATTGAATTAAGAATTTCTTACGGCCATAATTTTTTGTTCATTTTATCTTGGAATTTAGATTAAGAATATAGTAAATACATGTTATTTATAAATTAATTTTTTTTAGTGAAAAGAAAATAAAGAATGACATTTTTTAATAAGTATGATGATTACCACACATGGTACCTAGGATAATTTTTATCTAGGAAACGTGCTTATAATAGTTATGAGAACTACTTCTACTTTTTATATACATATATATTATCATTATTATCAATCACTATGAAAATTTCAATCACATACCTACCATAATAATAACTATGACTTAATAATGTAAATGTATTTATGTATATTTCATAAAAAATATGTTTTGGTTTCCAATCAAGTATGGTGTGCATAAAATGTGTTAATTTTTTTTTAAGTGTTGTTCAGTTTAGTTCCCTTAGTTCTTGTGACCCTTATAATATTTAATCTTAAAAGCTGGCAGCTGCTAATGATACCAACTTTAATTCTTATACAGTCACACCGAAGACAGTTTTATAGCCATATAGGTAACTATACTGCAGTATTTAAAGTTTATAAATATTAAAGATAATAACTATAATAGGGATAAATTGATAAAACAATTTCTCCAAGTAAATAGTTATTGGTGTGTTATAACATAAAATTATACAAAATATATGAAATAATATTTATATGCACTTAAAATATGTTAAATACATCATGCATGTCTTATATAATATTATATACTTATTAGTACATTTCTCGTTGACTTACAAGTACTCTGATTTGTTTCTGTTCTCTCTCTTAATAGTCACAAAAATAATGTAAAAATAATGTAAAAATTTTACAAACCTACTTAACAGTGTATAATTGTAAAATTTGAATGATAATATAAGCAAGTGACTTGAATAAAATCTATACCTTTGTGATCATAACATGTTATTGATCACACTTATGCCGAATTATATACAAACTGATTTACTTAAGTCATTTGTTAACTCACCAAAATTTAATAAACCAATAATGGACTATTACATTATGTTTTTAGGATTACCATAAGTACTATTATTTACTTGGTAACTATTATTAATTATGAAATTCAACAATTTAAAATACCGTTTTATTTATAAAAACAAGTTTTAAACATTTAAAATAAATTAAATTCCTTTTGAATATTGGTTGATTATGACATATATTATACAATTAATTATATAAACATTATTATAATCATTTTAATTTCCATATAAAACATGTAAATATGATAAGTTTAACTAAAAAAGTTGTACTCTTAAGAAATGTATTCAAATTCAATATTCAGTATCATATTAAATGTGATAAAAATAAAAAAAGTTTTTCAAAAAGAAACATTGTATATTTATTAATTGACTTATAAAATACCTATTTGTATTTGTTCAAAATATTATTTTTTAATTCAATACAAAACTAAAAAAATTTTTATTTAACAAAAACAGCAGTCATAGTAAATTATGTCAAGAATCATGTTTAAATTGCATTAATTTTCAAATAAAAATTAATATATTAAAAATAATATTCATTAAACAATAGTAGAAAATATATCTTGATTAACATTTTTGTTTTGACGATCCAATGTTTTTCTGTTGGAAATACTCTTATCCATACACATCCAAGTTTTTTTATCAATTTGTTTCCAAAGTTTTACAACATAATTGTTCATTGAAACAGACAACACTGTTCCAAAACGAGAAAAACTGATTTTTTGTTTTTGCAAGTCGTCGGGGTCAATTTCTGTTTGTACCCAATCATAATAATCATCACTTCCCCATACAAATACTCTACCATTTGAGGCACAGCTAGCAAATACATGTTTGTATAGACCAGGAGTTGGATTCCAACTTATATCTTTGATGGTAGATAATTGATTGTCTGATTCATACATAATGTTCCACATACCTATTTGACCTTTCCATATTTTGATCTTATTATCATTACCTCCGCTAACTAATAGCAAATTATTATTTAATAATTCATTTGACCAACTGATGCAGTTAACACCATTTAAATGAGCATTAGGTATCTTTGATGCAGACCAATCATTATTAATTAGAGTGTGTATTGAAATAGTACCATCAGCACTTGAACAGGCTATGATTGCTCCAGATTTATATGGCGCCCAATCTATAGAAGTTGTTGATGATTTGTGCCCATCATATTGATAAACAACCTTCCACTCACCCTCATTATTAGTTTTACGTATGATTAATTTTCCATCAGATCCACATGAAGCTAAAAATCCAAATTTTGGATGTGAAAACATTACTTGCCACACAGGACCAACGTGTTCTTGTAATTGTATCGCTGAATACAAGTTTGGGTTGTCGCTATCGATAATTTGAATGACGCCATCCGCAGAACTAGTACAAACATATTTATTGTAATAATCGATATCCGTTGAAAGAATTTGCCCCTTGTGGATGCTTTCGAATGAACTAGCCGTTGACAACATGCTTCTGACGAAGACACTATTAACACGTCCGACGTGTGATACCTTGAAAAACGCACTACAGGACAGTGGCCCTGTGGTAACCAGGTAACCTAACGGCACAGACAGACTAGACGAGTACGACACTGCGACAGTAAAGTCCGGTAAAGGTAAACAACACACAACTTGCGATAATCGCGCAGGCACAATTTAAATGACTGTTGAGTTTGAGACGAAACTGCGAAAGAGCGTTATTTAGTTACGCTGTTATCATTATAGTGTTGTTGATTATTATGTATTTATCACATTTTTGATTACCTATGTTCCTTTTTCTTTTATGAGGACGCCATATTTAACGGTGTTAATATAGGCAATTTTGAAGCGCCTTCGTGTTTTTTTGTCAAGTTGTGGTGTTCGTTGGAACTTGGTAATCGTGATTCGTGGTAATAACTAATATTTAATAACTAATAGATAAATATTCTCGTTTTTTTTTTTATAAAATATGTTAAATATTTTTTATTACACAATCTGTTCAAATAATTAATGTAGAGCAATAATAATTTAATGTAATAAAAAAATATATATGACTCACAGAATGAAAATCGAGAAAACCTTCCAGTAGACGAATTTCGAATGCTTTAAATTATCATATTATATTATATTCACGCCTGATACCATAGTACATATTTATATTTTTTGCTGATTTACCTACGATAATAATATACTATTTAGTTTATACAATACATTATTGAATTATAAGTTAATTGGAGTTATGTCTGTTGTTCATATTTCATTTCTTAATCTTTGTTTTAATTAATAGTAATTACGTTTAAAATTAATTGTATAAATGGACAACAGTGATGAATATTATATTATTTTATACTATAGTTAGTGTATAATAATATAACCACTCAAAATAATAATAATTATGTTACACTTGAGACGAAATATATAATTTACTATACAATACCTATGGATTCCTATACAATTGTATCTATGACCAAAATAAATGGGTTTATTTAATTAATATTACTATTTACTTTACCTATTTTTTGATGTTTAAAGGGTTGGTCTAATTTTCTAAACTTCTCTCATTGATGTAATTTAGTGTATTTTTAATTTTTGTAGAAAGAATACTAGAAAGTAGCATAAAACATAAATGAGAAACCAATACTTAAAGAACGCAAAATCGATGGCGATTACTATTAATGTATTATGAACTTAGCCAATTGAGGCATTGATAATTCATATGAACAAACAAAACAAAATATATTCACAAGTATATATATGGATTTATTTTGAAATATAATTTGATAATATTAAATGACTGACTTCAGACAGTTCAAGGTTAGGTTAGGCTAAAATTGTTATTCTTATTTTATATATCTATTTTTGTTTATTTATTTATTTATAGTTTATTATGTTATGGTATGAACTTCTTATGAGAATTTTTATTTCCAATTTGTAATGTTTACAGCTATAAAACTCAAATATTTTCCACATTTTAAAGTAATTATAGTTTTAACTAAAAAATAATTTCAAATAATATGTCAAAATATGAACTTTGAATGTTTATAAAAAAAACCATGCGTATCTATATGTAACTTAAATAATTTTGAATTGCTATAAAAATAACTTTTGACGAACCTTGTATTGCATTTTCAAGTTTTTTGACAGAGCAAAAAAATATTCATCGACAATAATTTAAAAAGACATAAATTATAGTAAATAAATAGTGAAAATATTATGAGAAAGGTATAGGTCAAATACATTTTTGCAAAAAAATTGCATTTGAAAATGTCATTGTGTGTATACTGTATGTCTATATGCAATACAATAATGTACTCTACAAATCTCAAGTAGGTACCCCCGAATAATATTTTAAAATTACAACAAATTAACTAAAATCGTTAGTCTTGGTTTTAACTTATCATATGTAATTTCGTCAACATTTGAACTTAAAATGTTTATAAAAAATTACTGTGTTTGTATATTTTTTAGAGTTTTTGGTTACAAAACTTACAGTATACCAACTTACAGTATGAATTATTTATGAGAATCGTTGCTGTAAATTTTCAATTCTTAGCTATTACAAATTTAAAATTTATAATTTTTTAACTACAAGAAAATCGTGACTACGGATCTATTTACGAAATAATTCGAATAAAATAGCAAACAATTTTACTATACCCAACATCGCAAATATATTATTTTCTTGTTTAGGAAATTGTTACAATAAAAATAACCTAACATTATTTTTATTACAGGGGAAGTAAAACTAAAGCGGTTCTCCTAGTGTTCTGCAGAACGAAAAAAGGTTTTTTAATAAATTGTGATACAAACTAATTTTAAATGGAATAAATAAATAACAAAATGTATTATATTTTTATTATTTATTCATATTTATCATTATTCCTAGACCAATGTCCACGCCGAGTAAATGATTGCAATTTGGTCAAATCATACAAACAATACAATAAAATGCACATGAATACATGATATATCAAAACGTTTGATGGTAACATGGTAAAATATGGGACATATGATGGTAAAATAACTAAAATGAGTTAGATTTATACCAACCAAAACGGGAATGTTTTGGTCTTGCAAAAATATTTTATATACAGTTATTTTAAGTTTAAATTTTGATGAAATTACATTTTGAAACCTGCAAGAATAATGATTTTAGCTATTTTATTGTAATTTAAAAATATTATTCGTGGAAACTTGAAACTTTAAGAGCACTATTAATATTAGTTTATATATTTTATATACACACAATATGGCATTTTCAAATGCATTAACCTACTGTAATATAGTATACTAATGTCTATTTCCAATATAATAAAATAAATTAATTTAATCACAATAATATTATAAAATATATTCTTCCTTAGTAATATTATAGGTCGACAATCCGTATTGGGTCAGAATTGTTTTTTGTATTCAATGTTTTATATCATTGAATTCAAATTTAACATACCCATCACAGTAACTATCTCGACACAGACACTTAATGTACAGGCGTACAGCAGAAAGTTACCCACTTAACTTTTTTTTTTAAGTTACAACTCTTCGATAAAAAATTTGTTTATTTTTATGTATCTTAAGATCATTCCAATACAAACATGCATTCGAATTCTTTAATGGAATACGTTTTGGTGAACTTCCGATGGGTGTTTGTAGTATTCTTCCTTCTACCCTGCACCATGATGGGAAAAGTGTGGGCCACCTTCGAAAAAAACGCATGGTCACGTCGCCGTAGTACCGGACTTGACCACGAAAAAAAAGTTGAAAACATTCAGTGTGAGGTAAATACCTATATAACTTGTTATGTATTGCATTATATTATAATACTATGTTATAATAATTTTAAAAAAAAGTGTGATTTTAGTGTACAATGAATGCCTTTTATTGTATAATGAATGCTGGCCTTTCGTTAACCGTTTATATTTCCTCCTCCCACTCAGGTGCGGCATAGAAAAGTATACGCTCCCAACCATGTGATGTGTACGGCCAGACCTAGTTGGAGGAGCATGACTCTGGCTGAAATGACATATAAGAAATGCATGTTTAACATAAACGTCCATTTGGACAAAATGATTTCTATTGATAGTCACAATCGGGTAAGCGATTATCGTATACGTATTTTATAATTTTATATTAGTATAACCAATGGCCATGAATATTGGCCATAATAATAATAGTAATTATAATCATCGACATGCCTTTTGTTTCTATATAAAAGTTATTATACAAAGTCTGTGCTCTGTGGTGTCTTTCACCCGCAGATATTCAGATATTCTGAAATCACTACATTCATACCTCAGAGTAATATTATTTTACTCTATGCATTTATTCATACCAACATGCTTACATGCAGTAATTATTGAAGAAACTCAATGTCAGGTGATACTGGATACTTGTTTATTATTATTTTTATATTTACAATAATTTAGTTACTAAAGTTTAGTATAACGAGAACACGAGATTATACAAAAACGTTGGAATTTAAATTCTTTAACAAGCCACCCTACTTATATTACTTGTGTCACATAAATCTAAAATATTACTGAACATATTATAAAGGTACCTAATAAATAAGTCAGTACTCGGTACTAATTGTCCAGTGCTTTTCAAAATAATTACCTACTATTAATAAGAATCACGTTTCATATCAACCATTTATTATGTTTCTATGTTTCAAATAATTAACCTCATAGTCAGTGTCTACTAGTGAATGGAGTTTGTTATATTTTTGATAAAAAATACAGTCAGTGAATGCTTACTGGGTAGAGTTGAGCAAGTTACTCAATTTATTGTAGCTGGTTAGTGGTTACAAGTTACAAACTACTAGATAGAAGTTATACAGTTATGTAACTACAGTAGAACCTCGATTATCCGAACTAATTGGGACCGCACCTAGTTCGGATACGCAAAAGTTCGGATATTGGAAATTTAAAAAAAAAATTTAGAATTACGTATGTATTAACTATTTACTATTTTTATAATTAAATATTTATTATTGTTATTAATATTTTATTAGAATTACATACATAAATTACATTATCAAAAACATTATCATACATTATAAGAAATAGGTACATAACATTTATTTTATTTACATATGTATGTATTATATTTTTTAGATAAGCCTGTTGCGTTTTGGTTATCTACTAATGATTGACGCACGTAAAATACATAACCTGTACTAATAATAATCCAAAAAGGCAAAAACGATAGTTTTCCGATCCGACCGGCCGGATACGAATTTTCATGTTCGGATAACAGAACGTTCGGATACGCTAATTATAGTTCGGATAATAGAGGGTTCGTATAACGGAGGTTCGGATAATCGAGGTTCTACTGTATGTACTAAGTGGCATTGGTAAATGTACAAAGAATAATTGACCGGGCACGGTCAAGGTTATGATCGGTTTATGTTAGGAAAAAAAGATACACCAAACATCATTGTATAACCACTGAATATACACTGGCTAGATTAATTATTGGGAAAAATGAAAACCAAAATAGACGAATTCATTTTTTTTTGATTTTGCAGTCCTACTTATGAACTAAGAGTACAAAAAGCACAATGCATAACTTTTAACTCTCATATTATTAAGTTACAGCTAGGAAAATGTGTAACTAGTTACGGTGGTGCCGAGTTCAGTAAAAAAAGGTGGTTCAATTCTAATTAAAGTCCAATCACCCCCACCCACCCAATTCATCATTCAAAAACAGAAGAAAATATTTACAACACCTAACCACACAAAGCAGCTCGCTTAGCTAGCGAACAACAAATATTTTGTTAAACAAATGTATATCTTATTTTATTACTTGTATATAGTTGTACCTATATCAATTTTAATAATAGACACTGTTCAGTGTTCACAATTTTTTTGAATGCAGGAGCGTTTGCATATATATTTATACAATATGAAAAATTATTTTCCTTCTAAATGCACTACCTATTTAGTTAGATACAAGTTACAAGTTAAATTGAAAATGAGTAACTTGTAACTTAATTACATGTAATTATGATATGCCCAACCTTGCTACTGGGTAAGTCCACCAACTACCTTCTCTATTCTGTATACCTATACTAACTGTTATAATAAGGTCTGATCGTTGGTTTAGTATAATATATTAATATATTATTTATATTATGTAACCTCGTGACGGGCTGACAATTGTTTTTTCGTTTTAATTGTTGCTCATATAATTATAGACAGTAAGGGTTGAACCAAGTATTACAGTGGGCCAATTAATTCCAATATTAATCCAATCCGGATGGACAGTACCCGTCGCCTTAGAATTGGAAGACTTGACTATCGGTACATCGTATATGAAATATCTTTATGCCTATTTTATAATGATCATGATTAGAAATAATAATGGTTTTAATATAGGTGGTAAGTATCATAGTATTAATATTATGTTATTCTTTGTTTAGGAGGACTAGTTATGGGCATTGGATTGGAATCTTCGTCTTTTAAATTTGGGTTGTTTCATAAAACGTGTACGCGATACGAACTCGTCACAGCCGACGGTGATTTGATCACATGTTCAGAGGTATGTATTATTATATTATAGTATATAATATTATGTCGTATGTGAAAGATTCAATTCGTGTTTATTAGCATAACTGCATAAGCGCAATTTGTGAGGGTGGCTTGGGTGGCTAAGCTCCAATAATGGTTTGTATTTAAAAAAGTTAATTTAGTTTAAATGTTGACAAAATTCGCAATAATTACGAACATTTTAAAATTGTTTTGAGGTGGAAATTCATAAAAATTATTCTTTTTATATCTAAGATTTGAAAATTCTTACAAGATTCATCATAAGTCTGTTCACTTTTATCAAAAAAAGAATGTATTATTATTAAAATAAAGTCAAATCAAATATTTATAAGCGTCTGAAGTTCAAATTTCTATAACATTGGATATTCACTTGATTTCTCATGGAATGATTTTCTTATTTAGGCTTGTTTTTTTATAAGCTGTTTACGGACATTTTTAACTATCAATTTTTTTCGATTTTTATTATATTGTTGTGTTTTAAAAATATTATTCGTGGGTACTTGAAACTTTTAATGTATGTTATTATATACAAATATGATAATATGCAAATAATATTATTTCAACGTATTGGTTTCAGTAGTAATAATAACGATATATAATATAAAATATCCTATGCCGCCAAACCGTCTACGCTCAGAATCGTTTTTCGTATACAAAGATATTATATTAATGAATTCATATTTGATACCAATATACCATCCATTACAGTGACCCACTTGTAACCTACTGTACAGTGTACAGCAAAGCGTCGCTCACTTAGTCACTTACCCGCTTTTTAATTATTTTATTACCTAGCAATTACAAAATACGTGTGTTATTAGGTATATGTATTTTTCATAAAATACTTTTTTAATTAAATTATACATATTAGTGGGAAAAGTGTAAAAGTAAGAAAGGTGATTAGATATAAATTCTAAGTATGTCTTGTTGTATATTGTATATTTGTATATGCTATATAGATTATGTTAGTTTGAGGGGTGTGAGGGTTTTTGTATATATGGATAGCCCCCCCCCCCCAAGTCAAAAACTGAAATTACGCCTATGCTTATTGGTAATTTTTATAGTTAATATATTAATTATTGATATATTGTAGGCAGAGAATCCAGACGTTTTTGAAAGTATTCCATTTTCGTATGGTACACTGGGATTTTTGACAGCTATCGACATCAGAATAATGCCCGCAAAAAAGTAGGTATAAAAAATTGGATCAAATCAATTATGAATAAAAAAAACTGCATCTGCATAACACCTACAAGTGACTATCATACGGGTTATGTTTTCATGTTGCCTCAGCCACCAAGTACAAGATTGAGTGTGGGTTGGTGCTGTAGAGGTCTACAAACTGCAGGTAGCAGGTGTTCCATTTTGTGTTAGGTACCTTTGAATATTATTACAATAAATTATTAATTATTGGCGGATAATAGTAATTTTCTTAAATAAGACTAAAATACTTACATAAGGTGGACGATGGCAGATCCTTAGAATAATTATTCTCAGCAACACATAACCTAACCTAACCTCTAGCTATATAATTATTAATTTCTAGCATAGCCGCGGTGGACATTTGTAAATTGAGTTTACAGTGAATACGTGGGTCTTGGGTACCCTTGTATGTAGTAAAAAAGACCAAGAGTATAGACACTAGTATAGTAAATGATATGTTGTACCCGATTTTTAAAATGGGTACAGTAAATTTCGCCCACATATTAATAGTCAACTATAATGAGTAATGACTAATGACTAATGACCTTTTGAATTCATTGATATTTATTTTAGACACGGTTTTTATTTATTGGTGTAAAAGTCAAACTTTATCGCTATAATTGTTATGTTATAACTTATATGAGTTATAACCTATCAATGATTTTATGTATAGTATTTTAGTCAGTTGTTTGTGTTATGCTTTATTATTATGTAGGTAACTACCACTAAAAAAATGTAACCTATTATCATGTTGTCCCTAGTCCCTTGGCTCTTGGGTAAGTATAATTATCGTCTATCACAAAAATAATATTACTTAAAATAAGCCTCGGACACCAATTTACGTCTTTCTACTAAAAACACTATTATAGTATAGTAAAGTCTTCTGCAGTAAATAGAAATTTATAGCAATAAAAATAATTATTATTTATTTTACACACGTTGTACCTATTATATTATATTATCTTAGATACATAATATTATATAGGTACCTATATATTAAGTTGCTTTGCTTGCCAGCACGTAAAAAAAGTTTTTGCGTAATTATTCTTATTCCCCTATTAACCATATTATATACCTACCACTTACCTATATTAAAAAATGTTAGATATGTCAGACTCCAGTATCGCCCGATTAGTTCTTTGGAAAAAATTCAATCCAGCCTCATCTCAGAAACGCTTGATACGGAAAATAATGATTTTGTAGAGCTATTAATGTATAGTAAAAATGATGGAGTTCTGATGACTGGAAAAATGACAGACGGCAATCAAAGCATGGTAATTAATTATATTTTACCTTTTTACTTACACACATACGATATATTATATATATCGTTATTCATTATCATTTGAATGAATATTGCAGATTATAGACGTTACCTAGTGGAGAGGTACTGTGGGTCTATAACCCGCGTTTTTTGGGTTGTGTATGCCTTTATTATCGTTCTTTGCCCTAAATGAATTGTCAAAACTTAAATTAATAGAATATTAAAGCTGTTATGAAATAATATTGAATATCGATGTACTTCGATAAATTAGCCACATCCATGTAGGTAAAATTGGTTGAATATCGAAGTATGATATTGTTGTATATCATTACAAATAATACATAATATTACCTAATTACTAAACAATATAAATGTTACAGTTAAAGTGTTGAATTCCGTTATTTTATGAAATAACTAGGAAGTTCATGAATTACCTACGAATGTTAGTTAAAGTATGAAACAATACATGAAAATTGTACTTTAACTAGTTATTTCATAGAATATCTAGTTATTATATACAATTTCAGTTTGATATCCGTTAAAGTATAAAATACATTAAAATTTAAAGTACCTATATATTAAAATATTTTATTTTACTGAATTAATTATAGTTATATTATTTATTTATATTTGTTCATGTAAGGCTATTATGGCATTTAGAGTTGCACAATACTTTTTTTTTCTACAAACATATCGCTTCGTGCCACATGTTTTGGTACAAGTTCACTTAAAAAAAACCCTGACCAGTTCCCAGTGACTGCGCAGTTGCCGCAGATCTTAATGTAATACTTTTATTTGGAACTTCTACAGCTAACAAATTTTCTGAACATACTGTGAACTGTGAACTGGGATCGAGAGTATAGTTGTAATAACACTCTTGTAATTATAATGTGTAGGTAGGTATCGAATAGATAAAAAATAAAAGGTTAGGTCAATCTTATCTGATTTTGTTATATTAAATTGATGAAAATGTTAGAACTATATTTATTATATTTTGTTATTTACAATTTGACACATTAACGAAGTGATACCAGGGAATGTATAAAATAACTAGTTAAAGTATAAATTATATACATTACCTACAAGTTTTAGTTATTTTATAAATTACCTAGTTATTTCATAAACGAACTGATTCAACACTTTAACTGTAACATAAATAACAAACAGTAATGCAGCATACAAAAATGTATTTAATACTTTTAAATAAAATCAATTGTTATTAAATAAATAGTTAACATTATAAAATGTATTTCATGTAATGATAACTTTAAAATATCTAATTATTAATAAAATATGGTTACCTATCGTCATATTTTTTTTTTTAAGTACATGTCTTCATGTCTAAATATAAATATTAGGTAATTGACTTCATTTAGCCATGGTTTTCTTTAAGTAACTATCCACGATCTAACATTTCAATCTGGATTCTGGAAAACTGGTATACATATAAAACTGGTGATCCAATACAATTAATTAGCAAAAGAGAAGAAACATAATTTAGATTTGTACATTTCAAACTATTAAGTACATTAATTAATTTGGATTTAACTCTTGGTTTATTAGTGCATTAAATTCACAGCCCTAAATATAAACTGTATTTGTTTATTAAAAAAATTCTATTTCCTAGAAAAACGTTAATGAAATTGGTCGATTTTACAAACCGTGGTTTTTTAAACATGTTGAATCATTCCTATTATCACAAAGGAATGCCGAAGAATATATTCCTTTAAAAGATTATTACTTTAGACATAATAATTCATTATTCTGGGAAGTACAGGTAATATACAGTTATAATTACACATTTTATAGAATTTGGATGTACCAACAGTAATGTATGTATGATATTTGTACATAGGATATAATACCTTTTGGAAACCATATAGTATTTCGTTATCTATTGGGATGGATAATGCCAGCAAAAGTGGCGCTACTGAAATTAACACAGACTGATACCATTAAAAAATTGTACGATGAACATCATTTCATAGATGACTTCATACTACCAATTTCTTGTCTGAAAAAATCTGTGGAAAAATTTCATGAACATTTGAATGTAATTGAGAAGACATTTTATAATATTAACACATTACACAACAACAACAAATTTAAATTTTATTCACTATAATTTTAGATTTATCCTATCTGGGTATGCCCAGCTGTTTTAAATCCAGGTTACGGTCTCGTGCACTCACATGCATCAGTAGACAATATGTACATTGATATTGGTTTATATGGTGAGCCCAATGTATCCAATTATAACTCAGGTATTGCGAAGGATTTAGAATTATTTGTACTGAAGTTGAAAGGGTAAGTTAAATTTTAAAAGTGTGTATTTTTACAAATATAATTATATTTCTTTTTAAAATTTAATTTTAGGTTTAAGATGATGTATGTTGGTACTCATTTGAATAGAAATGAGTTCAAGAAAATGTTTAATCATTGTTTGTATCAGAGTGTAAGAATGCAGCTTAATTGTGAATACAACTTTCCAGAAGTATACGACAAAGTGAATAAGAAAGTTAGGAGATAATATTATAATATTAATATCTCAATACTTTTTATAATATAAAAATCAGAACAATGAATGTAAAAATTTTAAATCATCTCTAATATTTAATCACTTATAATTTAAATTTAAGCTATGCATAAAATGTGATCTATAGTTAATAATACTTAGATTTTTTACTACAAGTTTTCTTTTCTGAATAAAACTGTACATCAAACAATAATTTGCTATTATAATATTTCTCACAACAGATGTTGTTAAAAAATTGTTTTATCATACTCAAAGTAAAATAAATTATAACACAAAATGATTTTAAATTTCACAAGGACTACAAATTATTTGGATAATTACATTTTTTTTTTTTTTTTGACAGTAATTAAATAAAAATTGGTAAACATAAATAATGTTTGCTTTTAATTGTTTATTAATCAAGATCATCAGTTTAGCTATACATAATGACAACATTTGAAATAGAAGTTTTGTATTTTGTGTCTTATTATTAATCACAAATGGGAAATACAACCATACATTTATAGCTGAGTAAAAAAAAAAAATAATAATTAGCTGTAGAAACAAATAAATTTAATCATTGAATATTGAAAAAAAATCACTTATAATAGTCAATTACACACAATGGTTTAAAAAAAAAAAAGTAAAAATAATAATAATAGATTCAAAACAAATTAATTGAAATTATAATTTGAACTAATTTATGTGAGCCAAATTTGGCAATTATAAAATTATAAAAATAGTACGATTACAAAAAAAAAAACTTAAATTATATAATACTGATTGACCATAAATATCTAGTGATCAATGGTTGAACTCAATTATATTTTGTAAACAAACCTTATGGAACATAATTTGGTTAACTATTCAAGATGACATTTATACAGCCCAAAGGTTGATAAGTTAAAAAAAAAATTCTTTTTAGGATAGACATAAATTATTTTGAGTGGAATTCTTTGATGCATAATTTACAGCTCCAGCAACCTTCTGGCGGTGATGTAAGTGGTGGTGTTAAGCAATAAACATGATAACCACGGTCACAATCATCACAAAATAAAAGTTGATCCTATTATCGAACAAAATAAAAATTATAGCTTTTGCAGTATTATATAATTATAAAAATATTATACTTACATCATTATCTGATGTTCCACAAATCGAACAACATTTGCACTCGATGCACTGCCAGCGATATTTCCCAACAGAAATAATCATGTTTGCGGTAAACTGCAGACACGTTGGATGGCCTATAAGACATAAGAAGTAAGTATATTTAACAAAATAAAATTCAAAAAAACTTCTACCTGAACGGCCACAGTCCGAACAAGAAATCAATATTTCTGGTTGCCCAGATTTATTAGATACTTCATCTCCCAAACAAAAATCACAATATGGTGATGGATTTGCAGATTTATTATTGCCTCCAGATTTTGTTTTAGTATATCCCTAGAATAGAACAATGATTAAAATGCTTGCATACATTTAATTATTTTAACACAAATTATTACTTCTCTTGAAACTGCTTTGTTATGTGAAGTCTTAGCTGGAGTAGCAGTTGATGGGAAAGTTGAACTTGCAGTGCTCGAAGCTGCTTCATTTGGATTCAATGTCACCAGTGGAGAATTGTTTTGATGGTTTGACATCCTAGCTGAAACCCGTTTTGAGTGAGGAGCAGGAGAAGCCACGGGCGTATTGTTGCTGCCTGAAGCACCTGAAACATATCACCATTGATTCGGTCCAATTGTACCTTGACCAAACCATGCATTTGGGTCTACAAATCACAATGCATACTTCAAATAGTCTTGTAGTAGGGAAGTAATTATTCCCAGAGGTGTGATGCACTGCAACTTGCACAGTAACTTAATTCCCTACTCTTATAATTTATTATTATTTATATAAAAATAATAATATAATAATAATAATAATAATAATAATAATAATAATAATAATAATAATAATAGTAATAGTAATAATACAATTCTATAACTAAATAAAACCAGCTGAAAAACTTAACTATACTAAATATAACTACCAAAAATAAGTGTTAAGCTATTTTATCTTATTTTCCTGTCATCAATCAACATTTTATTTTTATATGAATACATATTACACAATTGATGAAGCAATGAAAATATAATATTAAAAATATTTTAACAGGGATTTTTAATGTTTTCATACTATTATTGAAAGTTTAATAATTTAAAATTATTACAAATTTAAATTTCTATTAAAATAAAATATTTCATTACTAATTTTTTGCAATAGTACAATAACAAATAAGTATGAAATAATTATCCTAAAAAAAAACATTTTTAGATGTTTTAGGAAGAAAGAAAAGGATAACTATAAAAAAGAAAACAATAATTATTTGTAACTTCATGGTTTATTTGAATTAAACAATTTGTATACATAACCCAAAATATGTCCATAGTACAGCACCCCTTGCCTTAATGAATTATATGGACTTAAAATAGTCAAGAGTTTAACTCGGAACTGAACACAAAGGGACAATTTCCAATTTTAAGACAACTCTATAATATATGACATGATAATGAACTTAGTTATTTATTTTAACTAAAAAAGATATGTCTTTGAAATAATTACTATATATGTACTATACTACACATGTTTGAATATATTTTTTTAAATTAAGTAAAAATTAAAATCAGAGCACTTTTCTATATTGAGCCATCTTAAAAATGGATTTTGTTCAATGCAATATGATTTCCCAAACATAATTTACTTATTTAAAAACATTTGATGATAAATTTATATTCATTGCTCAAAAAATACTAGGTTTACTCAAAATTTACTACTACCAGGTACGCGGACAACTGTGTTAAAAACAAAAATTATTATGATGTGTAGTGTATATATATAAAGTATACATAAACGTATTTATGATTTTAATTACTCTTATAGTATTTGAATAACTAATAAATTGAAACATGATAAATTTAATTATATACTATCAATAAACAACTGATTAACCAATATTTCTAAATTACAAACATTCATCTATTTTTAACTATAATTGATTGATTTTTTTTCATAAAAAATAGGGGATATAATATCACTCATTGAAATAAAAAGTGACCAATTGATAAAAATACAATTTATGATAATAATTTGATGCAGGTCTGGAAAATTATATTTGAGTAAAGAGAAATATTAATTTTTAATGCTTATTTTTACTATATTAACTGTACATATTATCCAAAATTGTATGCAAAAATAGGTCCCATTTAAATATCTGTATTACCAACAGATTAAGTATAAAAAAAATTCAATTTGTAATAATTTGGACTGATGTAAATAATACTTTAAAAAAAATATACCTAAGATGTTTTATAGGTAATAATCTTAATTTATCATTTAGATAAATTATAAATTAATTTGACAAAAGTTGTACTATTAAATAATTCAATGTGTTAATATAAATTTAAAAAATGATTTAAACAAAAACAAATAATATTGTAAAAAACAGACTAGAGAAAACAAATATTACATAAATAAACAATAAATAACACTTTTTATGGATTCATGTTTTAATTTATAATTTAGAAGAAAAATTTCATAAATAAGTAAATTTGTGTTTAACACATTTGTATGCATCTTTTTAAAAATAAAAATCACATTTGTTTACTTAAACTTGAATTTAATTGCTTGTAGATGTTTATAAATAAACAGTTAATAAGATGTATAGATTTTATTGCTTAGGTTCCAATATTTTTAATAAAACACTTGAATTTTAAAAAGTATTTTTTTTTAATATCAAATTTAATTGTTTCAAGTTGAACCAATAAAAGATTCAAAGAATTAAAGTATAATGTAACAAAACAAAATAAAAAATTCCGGTACTTCATAAATAATATAATATACTTTTTAACATTTTAACTGTTATGAAAAACTATGCATCTCATATGCTCTAACGACGATAACATTTGTAATTAAAGAACTCACTATATTCTTTTCTAACTCGCCAATAAATAATAAATAGATGTTTCTTAATAATATTATAAATTGAAAATAAATAAATAAGTCAACTGCCTAGTTAAATGATTGGTGTAGTTATAAAATATCACAATAATTTTTTTTTTTAGAATTTACATCATTATAAATTACATAATTATCTATATATTATAATAAATTAAAATTCATATATGACTGTACATTGGAGGGAAGCTCATGATTTGTCCCAGATTATATGTGTAATACTGAATTTATAATGTGCTACATATTAAGCATTTAAATGCTGGTTTAACATGTTTCATAATAAGGCAATAATTATTTAGTAGTACACATGGAAATATTTATACAAAAAATCTATACTAAGTGATTTAATTCAGTACAATATAGGGTTAAAATTCACTAATATAAGTAGGAATGTCTGATGTCCACAAATAAAAAAAAAAAACATTTAATTTTAACAAAATAAAACAAATTATAGCTATTAGAGTATTCTATGCTATTGTGATGTTATTATTTTGGTTTAAGGACCGTGGTTAAGTCACTGCCACCAGCATTATTATAATGATAATGTTGCCATAAATTGATGTACACAAGGTATGGCCCAGACCTTCACCACTAAACCCTTAAATAATATTTTCTGTCATTCGGGACGTCTGCCACCTCCATCTTATCCTTCAAACAAAAACAAACAAAAAGAGGGGCTTTATTTTATTTTTATTCTTTGAAAATTAATAATGAAATATATGTTTTTGTTTAACGTCACATTCAAGCGCATATGCACTCGTCACACATGCATACACAGAGCTGGGACAAATCATGATTTAAATTTGAAAACAATTTGTATTAATAAGACAAACAAACCAATCATCAACGGACAACGAAAAATTCTGATTAAAATAATGAGTTAAATCCTAAATCAATTTGTATTCATTACCAAGGGTTATCAAAGTCACTGGTAAAGCATTGTCGTTTTAAAGATCGATAACTTTTCAAAACGTTGTTGGTTCGAAGAGACGGAGCTTAAAATCACAACCCCTCAATCCATACAATCAAAAAGGCTTTAATATTACAAGTCCAATTAACACTTGCATTAAAGTCTTTTTGATTTTAATTCATGCCCAGCTCTGCATATAAATGAGAGGTACAGGGAAAACACCCCATATCTATAAAATGTTGAGTTGAACTTTTGAAAAACTATCAAAATGTCCCCAATATATTATTAAATTAATCTTTTAAGTTATAGTAGTATAAAATAATATGGGTATTGGAAATAATTTAACAATATTGGCTATTGCTAAATAATT